AAAACTGTATACTGTCGGCTTCCAGGGATAGAACTGCTCGGTTGTGGCATCCGGAAGGGTTGGTACTTCAAAATAAATATTCTATGAGTATTACAGAATGAATAAACTTTTATTTGTCTTTTTGTAGAATTAAAGATTTCGTAACTGTTGTTACTTACAAGGGACATAATAACTTTGTATCGTGTGTATGCTGGGTTCCTCCCTGCGAAGCTTTTCCGGAAGGTCTTGTGGTGACAGGAAGCAATGACAATACAATACTAGGCTACAACCTGCAAGACGGAATGATACAGGTCACCTTAGAAGGTCATGAGAATGCAGTTTGCAGTGTCACACCAGCAAAAGATTCTGGTATTTTACTAAGGTTTGTAATATTATACCTACTACCTATTATCTCTTTAGAATAGAATTATATTAGATAGAAGGGCACTATTATCTGTACCAGAATAACAGCACTCTTTGTGTCTTTCTCCCCATCTAGGAATCATATAGGGACTTTTACTGAGATAGCTACCTTCTTGATGGCACTTTTTTCATTTTCTTTAAGTGTAAATGTATAAGATTATTTATGTACTGTTTGATCAATATCTTTCTTATTAATTTGTATCACATTAAAGTTGTTTACAATGAATCTCAAGGATCTCTAAATTTCTTCATTTTTATTACGACATGATTTACAGTTAGCAATAGTTATAGCCTTCAAGTTAATGTTTATTATTATAGACTTTTTTTTGTTTAAAATAGACAAATTGGTTCTTCATTCTACTTTTACACAGTAAAAATTATCATTATATCCTAAGTATCATTTATAATATACAAAATAGGAAGAACACAGCATGTCTAATGAATGACATTGTACATTTTTCAGTTCAAGCTGGGATAGCACAGCTAAAATATGGAATCTTAATGCTACCCGTGTAGTTCCGATAACCTTAAAAGGTCACCAAGCTGCAGTGTGGGCTGTTGTGGAGCTTGGAAATAGTACTTATGCAACTGCATCAGCTGATAAAACTATTAAATTATGGAAAAAGTCTGGCGATTTAATTACAACTCTTACAGGTAAAATATTAAAGTTTTTGCAACCAATTCTTTTTTTACCAATTTGATTTCTTCAAAACCATGTGGCCATTGTATTTAAGGCAAACTATTTATTTACATAATATTTACAAATAGTGCATATGTTTCAGAATCAATAATATCCACTTTATTTCTGTAGGTATGCAGATTACAAAAAAATATATACCATCCATTTAAAAATATATTATATGGCCATTTCTCCACTAAATGGAAAATCACTGTCCTAAATAAATTTTGTGTAATAAATCTTATTATATCTCAGTTTTTTGCTTTTATAATGACATAGTTTTAGACATTCTTGGCACGCCACATTGTTTTTAGCAGTTTAATCATTTTATATTTGAATAAACTTTCTTCAAACACCTCAAAACACAGTCCCCTGGTATGTCCCTTTTCCAGTATTACTAATCTTGTTACCAATATTTATTTTTTTGCCATTGATAACTCAATAAAAAATACCCAAATACATAAAAGAAAACAGTAAGGATCTTTATACATCAGAATTCTATTTTTACAATAAAAAATAATCAAAATACCTATTTGTGAATGATGTCCTCAAATTATTAAACCAGTCCCCTGTTTAAATGTGAAAACCGCGCTGAAGTCAAATTTGTTATTGGCGCGAAATATTCAGACAGTGAAACGGAACGCAATTGGCATGAAGTTCGTTCGGTTGTGGAGTCAAGCGATCAGCCGCCATTTTCTTTAGTGCTACGTTGGCGTCTTTGGGTGAACCACGCTGCTCGGTTTTTAGTGCGAACAGTCCACTGGTAAGCCTTTTTTTTACTATTTTAAGAGTTCTAATAATGATAATTTGTTTAAAATATTTAACTAACTAATATGTAGCTACATCTGTTTCGTTAATTTGATATCATAAACTGAATTTGTTTCATAAAGCTTTTATGTGAAAAAGACAGTCCCCTGGTTAACAGTCCCCTGTCATTTCATAGCACAGGGGACTGTTCCTATCACAGGGGACTGTTTTCTAAGGCGCGGGCCAGGCAGAAAAGGCGCAATGTGTGGCGCGCTCTCGTCTGTTTAGTCCGCGTTTTAGGTTTATAGAGTCTGAGATGTCGGACAACGCATTTGTGACAATAGGTAAATATTAACAGTATTGTCTCTTTCGTAGGTAGTATCTCGAAATGCCACCGAAAAAGAAACCATCTAAAACAAGAGAAGAAATACTAGAACAAAAGCGTATAGCTGAACGTTTGAGATATCAACGACTCAAAAATGACCCTCAAAAAAAAAGAAGAAATAAAAGAAAAAGAAAAGCAAAAATATCAAAAGAAAAAGGCACAAGAAAATTAGTTAAAAATATGAGTCGTCGTGAGCATAAGGCTGTAAAAAAAGCTTGGAAAGAGCATTGTTCTACGTATCGTGCAAAGAAAAAAGTCATGAAAGACATAACAAATACTTTTATTAGAGAAAATACACCTAATTCAGAGGATTCTGCAGAAGACCGTCCAGTACCTTTAAGATCACCAGAAAGTGCATTAGTTACAGCAAAAAAGAAAGAAGTAAAAAAGAAACGCCAAAAGATACTCAAAGAAAAAGACCTTAAGATTCAGAAATACAAACAGAGAATGGAAAAGTATAAAAAGAGATTACAGCGGTTAGAAAAAAAAATAATAATAAAAATAGAAGTGATGAGACACCTAACACGAAACTAACAAGAATGTGTGATACAGCAACTCGCAAGGATGTTGTTAAAAAAGCGCTTTTCGGGGAAGTTTTGAATGAACAATTAAAACAGAACTATGGAGGTTTAAAAACGCAAAAAGAGAAAGCCATTTTTGGGAGAGTTGTATCTGGTGCAGTAGTAAAAAAATATAAATTATGGAGGACTCAAGACAGTGCTATATCAAATAAGAGACTTCAGAAATCCAAAACACAATCTCTGTTACCAACGAACCGCACTCGTTTAGCGCTCATTTCATCCGAATATATGAAGACAGTGCAAATTTTTTTTGAAAATGATGATAATAGTCGAATTGGTGCAGGAAAACGGGAATGTGTGACCAGAAACGGAGTCAAAAAACAAAAAAGATATTTACTAGACACATTGTCTAATTTATACAAGAAATTTAAGAGCAATAACTCTGGACTAATCAGTTACCAGACGTTCTGCCGTTTACGGCCTTTCTGGGTGGTAACACCTAAGATAAACGAACGAGATACATGTCTTTGCATCAAACATGCAAATATTGATTTGAAATTATCTGCACTGCATTTTCACAAAATTCTGCGTTACAATAATCACAAAAAATTGCTTGAAAACACTTGCGGCGATCGTTATAACGAACAATGTTTATCTCGGGAATGCCAGCGTTGTGTCAACAAGAATCCCGATTACAAACAGTTTGATGATAGGGAGCTTATATCATTTAAAAAATGGATAGCTGATAAACAAGATTACAAGGATCCCAAGTTGAATAAAGTACGATCAATAACAAAATATACAAAAAGAAGTCTAACAGTTCGTCCACGTGAACTGATACAAGAACTGCACGAGGACTTGGATTGGTATTATAACCACGAAAAAAACATATTGCACCAGTACAAAGCCTTTAAGGTGTTAAAAGAAAATCTCAATGATAACGAAGTTGCAATACTTATGGACTTTTCAGAGAATTACAGCACCAAGTACAGTGAAGAAATACAAGCCTATCATTTTGGAGGATCTAGACTTCAGCTGAGTCATCACACTGTTGTGGTTTACACGAAAGATTCTACAAAATCCTATTGTACTGTTTCTCAAAACACTGCACACTCACCAGATGCTATATGGGAACACTTGAAGCCAATATTCAAAACTTTATCGCCGTATATTACCTGCATCCATTTCATGAGCGACGGACCCGTTACACAGTATCGGAACAAGACTATGTTCTATATATTGGCTTCAAGGCTTCATCAAGAGGTTCCAAATATACAAAAGTTTTTTTGGAACTTTTCAGAGTGTGGCCATGGTAAGAGTGCTGCAGATGGTGTAGGCGCGACATGTAAGAGAACTGCAGATACCATCGTTGCTAGAGGAGGTGATATTGACAGTTTGGAATCTTTTGTTGATTCTGTGCAAGAGAAATGTCCTGCAATTACAATGTTTATGATTGACGATAATGCAATCAATAATATGACTAACGACATTCAGAAAAATGCCAAGGATTTCAAAAGTTTCAATGGTACTCTCAAAATACATCAAATTAAGGGTAAAATATCACAAAGCTCATTGGGTTTGCCGCAAGGTACTGAGAAGCTAATAATGAAAAGTTTAAGCTGCTTTTGTGAAGAAGAGTGTCAGCATTTTAATCTAGGGGTTATGAACTACCCTCTGACGAGACTTCACGTCAAGGACGTTTACACAAACTCAGAATCCGAAGACGATACCAGGCTATCCCAGAACTCGCCGGATACTAACATTATTACAGAAACCGAACTTTCAGAACTATGTGACAATTATACTACAGATTTTCATAATACTGCAGGGCCTAGTACAATCAGTCAACAACAATATAACAGTGGTAACTACGTTTTAGTCAAGTTTAACGTCAGGAGCACGGAATATCGTTAGGCTGCTGTTGTTAATCAAGTAGACAACGAGGAAGGTGAACTAACTGTTACCTTTATGAAAATTTGTGATGATGAAGGAAGTTCAGAATGGACGAAGAGGATGTTTCTGATGTCATTTTAATCAAATATTAGATAAGTTACCAGATCCAAATCTAACTCCAAAAGGGAGAAGATTATTTTATTATTTTCCAATACCTGTACCAGTATTTGAGAAATAAGTTAATTTAAAGATATTTTATTGACGTGCAATGTTAAAGATGTTGTAGAATTAATGTTAAAATTATTTTAGTTACTTCAAAAGTATTATGTCAAACTAAAATATTGGTTGTGATAATTATTTAACAGAAGTATAATGTTCCTTTGTTTACATTTTGTTTTATAATAATAAAGACTGGTTTAGTGTCAATTAGAGCCTTAAAATACTGTTAAACTAAGAAGTTGGTTTTATTAAGTTTAACACAAATGTTATACGCCTTAAGAAAAGTGATTGTAATAAATAAAATTTGTTTTAATATTGTTTAAATATTCTAAAAAATACCTAATTTAAGGAAGACATTAAAAATAAAGACTTTGATTACTTCAATAAACGAAAATATTTGTTTTTGTTCCTAAAAACATTCCCCTGGTTGATAACAACACTCCCCTGTCACGATTTTCCATAAAATCTTCAATAACTCATAAACTGAGACGAAAATGTGTAAGCTTTTTAAAAATATATATTTAATTTATAAATGCCCTCCATTATATCAACTAATATTCTCAACATTTAATAAAAAATTGCTTAGGACAGTCTTGTATGGATGAATTTCCGAATAGCAGAGAAACACCCATATATAGTCAAATATTATTTAAATAAATCTCAATTTTATCTTCAATGAAAGTCAAGTTGGTAAATTATGATGTTTTACTTTTGTCATATCAACACATTTCATATGTAATTAAATATGCAAGTTGACCCGATTAAATAGATATCTTTAATCTTATTTAATAAAGAATTATATACTATTCTAGTATTATATACCAGGTTTATTTCAGGTCACACAGATTGTGTAAGAGGGTTAGTGTTAGCTAGTCCTGAATCTTTCTTGAGTTGTTCCAATGATGCCACTATCAGACTTTGGAGTAACAAAGGACAGTGCCTTAATACATACTATGGTCATTCAAACTATATTTATAGGTAAGTTAATTAGATCATAATACATATGTTTTTAAATTGTTTGAAAGTTATAAAATGATGTTGGTTGCTCAATTCCAATTTTAAAAGTTGTCATATTTTCATTATTGGTGTCGTGTGTTTCGGGTCTTTATGTTCCCTAAAATATGGTTGAATTTTCGACTTTCACAAGTGCTCTGTAAAAGCCTAAACTGAATCAAAAATGTTGATTTTGATTTTTTAGCATTAGTATGAACCCAGCACTAACAAATGGTTTTGCAACATGCGGTGAAGATGGCAGTGTGCGACTGTGGTCTGGCGGTGACTGTATTTGTGATATACGTCTACCGGTACACTCAGTTTGGAGCGTCACATGTTTGGACAATGGCGATATAGTTACTGGTAAATTACTTCCGTTTTACTTATCTCCGATGATATCTGTTTATGGAACCAGAATAGGGCTAAAATCTGTGATATATAATTATTATTTTAATGTATAATAAGAAAGACGTATTATATGAATGTAAACATGATGAAAATGAATCCCCAAAAGATAAAAATTTTTATCACTTGTCTTTTTTGTGTTATCCCGTGTCAGGATATTATAGTATCTTTATTTTTTCAGATTTCTATAATACGAGTGCCTTAGATAGACACTCACACTACACCAAATTAAGTAATGCTCACACTACTTAATTTGGCATCTGAGCGCAGTGTATGTGATGTTGTATAATTAAAAATTAAATAAAATTAATTAAATACAAGCCCTTCATTATTTTTATAGCTTACAATAAAATATAAAATACTTTTTATTAATTTATAGGTTCAAGTGATGGAATCGTGCGCGTATTCACAGCAGATTCAGCGCGGTACGCAAACGAGGCAACACTCAAAGCGTTTGAAGATGAAGTGACGAAAATGCAAGTGGCTTCACAGCAAGAGATTGGTGGCTTTAAAGTTTCTGAGTATGTTTTTATTTCCTCAGTTCAGATTAGAGTTTGAGCCCCGGGATGTATAGTGTTTCGAAGTCAGGGGACTTCTTGGTTTAGTATTTAGAAACCTGATGTTACTGAGAGAAATTTGAAATGAAACGCATCTAGAACACCTATATTATATAACAGAAATCTTAGACTGAAATTAATATCAAAATTGTCAGGAGTTTCATCTTATGGTTGATAAATTTAGATTACACTAAAAGCCTTTTTATTAATACATTTTTTTCTTAAAATCAATTCTATTCTAATTTTATTCTGAACAATCCAAAACCGGAACCGAACTCACCTGATTATTCGTGAAGTTTTCATAAATGGTCACCAGTTATTAGTGTATCTGACGTCATTATCTGACAAATCCTTCACCGGCTTTTTCATATTTCAACTTCATCTTCACTGATCATACCATATTATAGTCAAGGAAACGTTGGTCGATAAGGTTCCTTTTGCTATGCGACAGATTGCCCGGGCCTGAAGTGTTACTGGAGCCGGGCAAGTCCGACGGTCAAACGAAACTGGTCCGTAGAGGCGCCACCGTCAAGTGTTACTCGTGGAGCGCCGCCGATAACACGTGGAACGAGATAGGCGACGTGATGGGCGCCACCCCGCCCGCTGACGGTACCACCATGTACCAGGGGAAGGTGAGCCTTATCGTGGTCTTCATAAGGCCTATTATAGCAGACAGACCTTTTTTACCCCCCATTATTTCACGACCTCAGTAACTGAGTGATTTCGGATGACATTATCTCAGGTCGGTTGGGTCAATGTTAGAAATGGATTTTTCTATATTGTCTCAGGTGTGGGTGTTGTGATCTCAGATACTCCATAATACAGGCTTTTAGCTCCTCTTCTTGAAATCTGATCAATTAATGTGATGTTGTTTAATATTTATAATACAATTTTATATGAAAACTATTTTACTATATACAAACCGGACCATCATCATCAGTCCTTTTACGTCCCCACTGCAGCGGCTCAAGCCTGCCGTATGAATGGTTAAGGAGATGGGCCATGACCCTCCACGTTGGCCCAATGCGGATTGAAGGGTATTAACGACTGCAAATGCAATTGGGCTTGCCTTCCGAAGCACAAAGTAGCTCGAGATTAAAAAAAAAAATTATCACCCATCCCGTGAACAACCCCAGCGAAAGTTGCTTAACAACAATGAGTCTTATCCACTACGTCACCGAGCTGCTCCATTACTTCAAATTGGCCCAAACGTAACATATTTAATTGTTTAAACACAGCTCGAAAGTGTTGAAAGCGGTGGAAAATCTAAGTAACCTCGGTATTTACCCTTTATACCAATCTACCCTTTATAGCAGCGTTTCGAAACTTTTTCTGGTATGTCTTTGTCCATAAAGTATGTGCATATTGAACAGTTATTTACGAGTTAGCGCGAGGTGTGATGGAGAACAAGTACGTTCTCCGACCCAAGATAAAAATGTCAAGTTAGATAAATATATTATGTTTTTGCTATGTTGTAAATTTTCTATGATTTGAGTAATGGACTAAATATATATATTTTTTTTTTACCCAGGCATCATCACCATACTCTAGTGTTTCGTTTTTCTAGGAATACGATTTCGTGTTCAGCGTGGACATCAAAGATGGCGCGCCTCCAATAAAACTGCCGTATAATAAGACTGAAGACCCGTGGGTTGCAGCCCAGGCTTTCATACACAAGTACGTAATTTTTTTAAACACTTAATAATTTAAAATTTGAAAAGAGCAAGGTTGAATTTTCTACGAAGGTTATAGAAATTCCAACGACGCAACGTAGTAAAGTCAGCTACAATTTTTTTTAGATATTGGTTGGTCTATTTAACAATTATCTATTAATCGTTTAATAAGACATTCTTTTGTAAAAAAAAATATAGTGATGTATGAAAGAGAAAAATTTAGTCTGCCAGTTATGGGTGACGTCAATGTTTCTGAATTTCATAACTCTAGAGCTTATATTTTCTTAGTTTAAGATCTGTATAAGAAATTTTCTTCTATATATTATATACTCATACTCTAGGTAGGGTTGAGGGGGGCAAAACAAAGTGTTTCCTCATTTATAACATAAATAAAGTGTAGAATGATATTCCAACTTATAATATTTTCCTTTATAGACACAATTTACCTCAAGTCTACCTGGACCAAGTAGCTAACTTCATCATTACAAATGCTAAGTTAGATCAACTGCCTGCATCAAGCAATGGGTGAGTGATTATTATTTGGGTATTTTTATTTATTCATAAAGATAGAAATATACTTACAATATTATAAGTATTTTTTTTTTTAGTTTATTATTTCCACCTTAGAAAAAAAACTAAACTTGACCTCAAAATAGAGAAAATAATTCTTAAGAAGTGGTTGTTATATTCAAGGAATTTCATTTCTCGCCATGCTTTTAATTGCTTGAATTTAAATAAAGCTTGTAGGTTGTAAAAAGTTTTTTTTTTTTTGAGGTCGGTCTTTATGGTGAGAATCTGAAATTCTCACTTTACTTTTACATTTCACGTCTAAATATAACATTTTAGTACTAATACTATGGTTGTTTAACATTTTAATACTTACAAACTCAAAATAATCTTTATTCAAATAGACTTTTTAAAGTACTTTTGAATCGTCCAACATTTTTTTCCCTACCACTCGTTCAGGACGTCTTTTGGCTGATAAGAAGAACGAGTAATAAACTCACCAGTTCTAATATGAGTAATGACATTCACAAAAACCATGTATCATAAAAATTATAAATGGTGTAACTAACTCGACTTTCTTTTATATATATAAGATTGTACGTACTTAATCACTTTAAATAATGGCTGACTTACCCAGATTTAAGAAGATTTTTAACTTAATTTTAAGTGATTTATTAAGTTCAACACAAAAAGGTAAGTAAAAATTTAGGTAACTACAAGCTTAATTGAATTTAAAATTCGATTTTTTTAACTATAAATAGTTGTTATAATTTTGTTAAAATCATATCTATCGGAAATCGCGTTTCTTTTGAGTCGTATTAGCATATCGAAAATTGATCAAATTTCGTTTTCGGCTAAATAAAATAGGTGTCATGTTAATTCGTACGAGTAGCACTATAACGTGTAAAACGGCCATTATGGGTATGTTCCGATATACACTGCGACCACTGAACAGTATGACGTCAATTTAGTATACTGGAAGCCCGTTCCTTTATAGCTAGTTATACTGGTGACTTTTTAAAACGGAACGCAGTCCAGTATACTGTTAATCCTATTTTTGGCGCCATTTTCAAATTTGTTAATGCAAGGTGAATATAAATAAAGATTCCCTCTTTTCAAAAGAAAATATTATAAAACTGGAAAATTGTATAAAAAAAATATTTATCAATTAAATCTATCTTATAATAAACGTAAGTAATTTATTTTATCTGTTTCGTCTGATCACGTGGTCAAAAGCACTGCGAGCACCTTACCTCGAAATCTCCAGTGCTCACAGTACAAATATGCCGGCAATTTATGACGTCATAAATTTCCCTACGGTACTGTACAGTGTACTGTGCAGTGTACTGGCAGTCCATAACTGCGCAGTGCTCGCAGTGTATATCGGAACATACCCTATGTCAACTACTTTTCCGCTCAATGAGTAAATCGGCGATAATATCTGGCGCCAGGTTCGCGGATCCGTTCACCGGCGAGAGTAGGTACGTGCCGGGGTCGACGGCCGGACCCGCCGCCCCCGCGCCCGCGCGCGCCCCCGCCGCCGCCGCCGCGGATCCGTTCACCGGATCCGGCGCGTACACCACCGCCTCCGCCACCGCGCACGAGAAACCGCTCGTGCCTCATGACGCCTACATCAGGTATTCAAGAGCACAACCAATCAACATCTTCAAAAATCATTATATGTCCCTTGCACAAACATCGATTAAGGTGTTAAACCTTAGAAGACTTTCAGCCAGTTGCACAAACGCCAATTTTCATTAGTTTAAAGTGACATTACCCATACAAATTTGACATTCATTAGAGCTTAAAAGCGTCGTTAAACCTTAATGAACATTTGTGCAACTGACCGTTTAACCTGTAACAATGTTCCAAATTTGAAATTCTTTATCAGTAATATCGTTTCAAACTAATGACTATTTTAATGGACGTTAATACAACAAATAAAAATAACAAAAAGACAAATTTTCAAATTGAGAACTTAAAGGTGTCATTAAGCTGTAATGAATGTTTGTGCAAATGGGCCTATGTCTATAATACTAACTTGCTGCAACCAATTCTTTGTTACATTAAAGTATATTATCAATATGTATCGTATGTATGTCTTTATGTATATTATTAATGTTTACTCGAAAATCATCAAATAACTTTAACCGTAACAATAATGTAAAAGTACCTGCTAAGAAAATAATGAAATGCATCATTTGACTATGGTGAGATGACGTCATAACTCTTAACTATGACCATACCCTAAACTTGCTAGATAAAATATATTTTTTACTTGATCAATGTTTTAAGTCAGCTTGACAGTTATTATCAAATTTGACATAAACCTCAACTTCAATTGCACTTATGGTGCAATCCAGCCTTGGTATCTTATACGAGTAAGTCTTAATGTATTTTAACGAAATGTCAATTATTTATCTTGGAATTAGATACTTTTAGCCTTCAGACTAACCCCTTTATTTATAACTGCTGTTCATTCTTCTGTCCAGAGATTGTTTGGCTTTTAGCGATAAGACCGCGAATAGCTATGTTTAATATGAGAAGTTTATGTAATCTACACGTTTTTTGTCATTTAAAGAAAAATAATTTTGAAGTTGTCAAACAAAGTACGTGGGAAAAGTATTGATTTATAGAAATTGATAATTTCATTCATTCATTACATAAGTACGATTATTATACTCCCAAATAAAATAAAATAAAAAAATTATCAATTATCTGAATTTATGATTTCAACTTTACAGATTCGATCAAGCAAATTTAAAAGCCATATATGACAAACTAAAAGAATTCAATAGTAAAATAGGCGACGGTCTCAGTCCACTGACAGACGAACAGTTGGAAAATGTTGTCAAACTAGGAGAATTGGTAAGTCTGTACACTGTTCTAGTCGTTATTTATTATATTATCTCGGCTGCGAAAATATAATAAATAACTATATTTGTTGTAAAATAGATTACAATATGAAATATTATAATATAAAAATTGTATTATACGTGAAAGCTGGTATGAAACTATTAAAGACTCAAAATTTTTTTTTTTTGCTTGTTTTAAAACAAACTGAAATATCTTAAAGATATTAAACAGTTTTATTAGTACACACAACATATCAACTTTGTAATAAAATAACAGGTTCTATTTGGAATAAAATAACAATTCACGCGTTCAATTACTTTGCAAGATATCAGTTACTTATTTACTCTAAAATATATACTTTTTTTAAATTATGTAATTTCTCGTTCTAGAATAGCACACACAACCCTGAAACAGTCACGCTATTGAAGAAAATGTTGGAATGGCCAAAAGGTATATACATTAATTAGGGATGTAACTATACCATCTAGGTATCTATACTTTTTCTCGATAATCAGTCAAGAGGTATCGATACCTTCTTTATATAGAATGAAAAGTATCGATACTTATATCGATTAGTTTTAAAATTTCTCCTCCATCGTAGTCTTTTTTATAGATTTTTAGAGCGGATTAAATACTACTAATTTAGTCATTAGCAATACTCTGTTTACGGAAGAAAGAGAAGCAGGTCCAGGTATTAAAAGCGATAATTAAAAAGTTAGGTATTGATTTAAAATTTATATTAATAGATCTCATAGTACATAAAATTAGTAGGGATTAACAATGCTTATTGTCATTTTTCATGAGTAAACAGCCTTATGCATACTAGTTTTTTTACACTCCTCAGTGAGTGATCGACTGAGTACCAATACAAATACTTACTTTACGATACTACTTGTTACTCGGTTCTAAAGAATCAATTACAAAAGTACTTGGTATCGAAAGAAAAGTATCGAGTAAGTACTTATATTAACTAGTATCGTTACATTCATAAAAATATAATATGGAAAAGTGTTTCCATATTCCTTTCCAAAAACTATTATTATTATTATGAGTCATTATCGGCCCTTTTTACGTCCCCACTGCAAGGGCTCAGGCTTTATGGATGGTTAAGAAGGATGGCCATGACCCTCTACGCTGTCGCAATGAGGATTGGAGGGTATTTAATACCCTCCAATCCTCGCACCCGAAAAAGGTTGTATTTGCTTGTAGACAAAATTTTCTAGAGTTCGTCATGCTACAAGCACAGTCAAAGGAAACTCTAAGCACGATTTTAAGGCAGAGAGGGCAACGAAATCTTCTCTCTTTCTAGCAGAGGAACAGTCGAAATCCTAACATCATCATCATATCTTTTACGTCCCCACACGTTAACGTCCCTACAGGGGCTCAGGCCTTCCTTATGGATGGTTAAGGTGGATGGGCCATCCACGTTGGCCCAATGCGGATTGGAGAGTATTAACAACTGCAAATGCAGCCGGGACCAACGGCTTAACGTGCCGAAGCACGAAGTAGCTCGAGATTATATTTTTTTGGTCACCCATCCCGTGACCGAGCCTTACGAAAGTTGCTTAACAACAAAGATCCCGGGCCGCGACGCTTATCCTCTACGCCACCAAACTACTATTATTATGTGTAAATGTGTCTATTTTCGTTTCCAGAAATACTATTTCCAGTGCTTGATGTGACCAGACTAGCGGTTAGAAACAAGGATATAAATGGACAGATATTTGACACCACATATGGTCCTAACTTCGTCAAGTTTCTCTTAACACTGCTATCACCAGGTCAGTGGACTTTTGTTATTTATACTCGATACTAATATTATAAAGATAATAGATTTTACTGTTTGTTTGTTTGCATCAAACAGGCAAAACTGGTGGACCTATATAAAAAAACCACATACGGATAGGTACATCATATGCGATGGACATGAGCTATATTTTATCCTGAAACAACAAATAAGGGGTCGTCCATTAATCACGTGATGTCGTTTCTGCAATTTTTAATACCCCCTCCTCCTTGGTGATATATTTAATCCTCCTTGGTGATAAGTTTCCCCCCGTCCATCCAAATCACGTGTATTTTTTAGTACTTGCAAAAATCTTAATATTTGACACCGCTTTTGGGTTTAGTAATCCCGCGTTTGAGGAAAAAATAGATACATATATTAATACACCCCTCTTCCATTGTGATATTTCGTTATTTTTGACGAACCCCTTCGCCCCAGTCGAGCCCTACGTGGTTAATGGTAAGCTCCTAAAAGGGATGAAAATGTGAGTGGGAGTTTGCATAGGGAATTAAAACGTTACCATGGTAACCATTCTTTACTGTTTAATTTTTCATTGTAATTATATTTGTGTCATATATATGAATTGATATGCTAATAAACAGTTCCATTGGCACCACGTGGGCGAAGCCGCTGGCGGATAGCTAGTATCATATATTTTGGATTCATTATAATTAACTATATCAGCATACACTTTTATCTCGGAATATCCTAGATTTTACAAAATTAAAATTTGAAATAAATTTTTTCATTAGAATCAACTTGGTTCTTCGAGCCTGATATATGAACAGCATTAGTCGCAACGCTATCTATACTCCATTCATTATAGCATTAGACAGAAGTTAAATAAGGTTCTTTTTATGGTATACTTTGTGATAAAATATCAATAATTATGTTACTCTTAGGACTGACTGCTAATTTGCTACATCTCCACTTAAATACCAGCTGCTATACTTAACTGTTGTCATTTAAGCTATCTATTAAACAAATTTTTGAGTATTTGACGAACTTAAATGATTTAATAACTATTACAATAAAAAGTGTGCATCTTAAAGAACCTAAAGAAGCAGGGTTGGATAGTTTCGGCACGATTCTCGAGTCACTATAACTCTACCAAATTTAAAACGTTGCCTCATCCCTTGACATGTTTCAGCAGTACAGTTTTTTAATTTTGTCAGACTATATTGTATTCATAATTGTTAAAAAACGTAATCTGGAATTGTCATCCGTTGTGAATGCTACTGCCTTTCTTGTTGTTTTGCCGTTTTCCGTGATTAAGTTGTTATTGTTTTATTTTTATTTTGTTATAGTTTTGTTTTTGTTGTTAAGTTAAGTTTCGTCGATATTTAACAAAACTTAACAACAAAAACAAAACTATAACAAAATACAACAATTAAGCTTTAATCCCCCATACCTACTTTCAACTTTGACATTTCAGGAAGTTTTTCTAATATCTTCATCTATAGTCTAACTAATGTCTGAATAAATGTTATAATAACAAATTCATTTTGTTTACCTTTCTTTCCTGGGCATAGATATAACTAAATTCTATTCTAATTATATGCACTTACAATTAGAATTTATCAAAACAACAGATAGTTTTAGTTCCATGTTGGCTTGAGAGTGAACGATGAATTAAGAAAATGCTGGCCTCATCTCAACCGCGAGGTATCGTATAAAATGAAAATTGCCCAGCTCTTTTAGACTACCTAACGTTCAAAGTTTCAACAAAACCACAGTATCTGTGGCAAAACTATAATATATATATTTTAAATTCATATTTAAAATAAAATGTTCTGCACTGCTGCTTCTATGACCCTCTTTTTTCTAATGTTATAATGAATGGAGTATATGTTAGTGAAGAGGACTAAAATGTCTTATACCAACATTTGACATTTCTACTCGCAACATTACTATTGGCACTCAATGATTTTTAACCGACTCCAAAAAATAAGGTTCTCAGTTTAACCTGTTATGTATTTATATGTTTGTGCGCGATTATCTCGCGTTTAGATAATCGCGTACAAACATATAAAGATTTAGATGCGGTTTTCATAAGAGTATTTTTTACACTTAGGAGGTTTTAGTATGTCACCGACTCGAAAAAACGAGGTTCTCAGTTCGGCCATATAAAATTAAATTTATTTTCAAATAAAACCTACTTATAACTAAATTGCAGTTTGATTTCTTTTATATTTTTTGTATGTTAAATAGTTTTATAGATTATTTTTTGTACTTATTCTTATTGTCAGCCAAAAGGTGTCCTTGTTTAAATGAACTATATAATAATAATAATTAATATTCTCATTTCAGAAAATCTACCAGCGAACCAGATGCTAGCAATGCGAGTATTAGTAAATGCATTCAGTGATCTTCCTGGCGAGATGTTAGTACTAGCGGCTAGAGAGAGTGTACTACACTGCATCATATGTTTACATCAGCTCAATAATAATGCACAAGTAAGTGTTATTCAAAGTAATTCTAAAATATATTAGCTAGTGTCTGACGAAACCGAAAATGAATTTCGGCAACAGATTCGGCCGAAACCGAAACCGAAACTTCCTCACGAGGATTGGGTTTTGAGGGGCAAATAAAGAAAACGTTATTACAATCGGTCAGTCTATATTTTTTATCCGACTGCAAAGGAAGGGTTATGTATTTTGCGTATTGTTTAATATTTATTTATATTTACATAATTGAAATATCTTTAGTTTTGTTCAAGCAGTACAAGTGTCCAAGATAGATGACGGTCGTAGTTTCGGCAGTTTTGTCACCTAAACCGAAGTTTCGGTCGGAAACTAATATTAACTTTTAAAATAGGGTAATACAGGTTTATGTTATTTGTTTGGACGAAATACGAATAATTTTAACTTGTAAATATTCAACAAAATTAATTTATAGCACTAATTTGGAAAATATTACGCTTGGAAAACTTGAAAAAAGTAGAGTAAATATATTACTAATATTTGCTAAAATACATATGGTTTTAAATGAGTTACATCTTTCATTATAATAGCTATAAACGCTCACATAACAAAGATATTGCAGTTATTGCCCAGATGCCCATACGTTTCTCGCTACCGTAACACCGTGTGACGTCAGTAAGTGGCTAGAATTTGTAGGGAGCGTTTTCGGCAGTTCCACAAACACAGCACCGTCTCTTCTACATTATTCGTCAGATATGAATGAAATGTTTATTAGCCAATCGTAACTAAGAAATAATCATGTTAAAAACCTAAAATGCCAGGCTAGCCCTCATAATAATTTTCAACTCAACGTGTTTACAGAAGCATAGAGTAGCTCATGATAATATTTATTTTCGGCCACCCATCCCGTGAAATTATAGATAGATAGATAACACTTTATTTTAAACACCAAATGCAAAACATACAAAGAACAATATTAAGCTATGTGTCACAATCAGCGGTCTTATCACTAATCTCTTCCAGACAACCTTTGCATGGAGAGATGAACTATCTTAAAAGTACGGGGGTGTATAATAATCTTATGATTACAATAGATATTAAATAAATATACATTAAAAAGAAAATAACTTTATATACTTATTCTTTCTTTTTTTTTTTTTTTTTCTTTATTCAGCTAAACGAATACAAATAATTTAATATATCAGAACGGTACAACATAAACTTACAAAAGTTTTTCCATGTACCGCCGATTCGCACTCAAACACATGAAGCATATATAGGATGTTTAACTGTCACAATATCATAATATTTGTAGAAAATCAGACAAATATATATCCCAGACCAATAGGAGCATATTAGTGACAACGACATAGCTGCAAACAACGTGGTTATTATTATCATCATATAAGATGTAAATATAAATACATGAAAGTACGTGCTATATTTGTTATAAATAAATAAGTTAAGGTAACCGAAACATTACTTTCCCTACACAATTACGCATGCATTAGTAGTTATTAATTTATATTTGAAAAGTTATATAGTCGTTATCAGTTTTTCAATGAAATATTGTTTAATTTTAGTTTTAATGTTTTTTGAGTTTAATGTCATTTTTATATTATTTGGGATGTGATTCAAAAGAGCGGGTACTTGATACTTAAGCATAAATTTTCCATACATATTTCTGTAATTTGGTACTATACACTTTGGCCTTAACGCTTGACGAGTGGCCTTTGTGTATGTGCGAGCAACTATGAGTTCATCTTTATTATAATTTTCCACTATCATCAAATATTTTACTTTATCATGTATAGGCAATAGATTGCAATAGTGAAAGAGACCCAGGGGGTCATTTGAGAATTTTTCTTTGATTTTATAAGGAACGATGCTTTTCAATATACGCAACTGAAGTTCGTATATTTTATCGAGGTGTGTCCTATAAGTACGGCCGTAGCTACTTAGGCCATAAGATACGATCGATTCTCCGAGTGCGATATAAAGTGTCAACAACATTTTATAAGGCACTTTACTCCTAATGAGACAAAGCTTTGCCAGGATAGCTCTTAGTTTATCGCAAACAGTTTCGATATGGTTCGTCCATTTCATACGATCATCAATTACTAGTCCTAGGTATCTGAAATGTTCTACTATTTGGATATGAGGACAATTACAGTTAGAGTACCTCATATTATGAAGGCAGTCATGAGTATGGGCCGACAGAGATATTATGTTCGTTAATCTATTCTGACTCGAGCTTACATACATCGCTTTAGTTTTGTTTATATTCAGCACCAGACCTGAGTCATGCGACCACTGCAAAATCCTTGTGAAATCGTCTTGTAAATATTTTTGAGCGATATTTATATTATTGTGTGCTACTAGCAGACATGTATCATCAGCGAATTGAAACATTTTGCAGTGTTTGATAACATTGTTCATATTATTTACGTACGTGATGTAGTGCAGTGGTCCCAAGACAGAGCCCTGGGCTGTTCCTTCGCTCACCATTACTTTGTAGCTTAGCGCATTGCCAACTTTCACATGATACGAACGTTTTTCAAGATAATCTCGACACCATTCTAGCAATTTCCCTCTAATACCACATTCATCAAGCCGCTCCAATAATATATCATGACGCAAAGTATCGAACGCCTTGCTGTAATCAATAAATATCAATAATATGTGTTTTTTATCATCAAGATTTTCGTAAATGAAATCGGTAAATGAAGAGAGTAATTGTGTTGTGCTTTTGTTTTGCTGAAAGCCAAATTGTTCTGCATTCAACGTATTGTTATGATTATAAAATCTATATATTTGCTTGGCTAAAGTCTTCTCTATTATTTTATCTATTGTAGACAATATGGTAATAGGACGATAGTTATCATAATCTTTGTGACTACCTTTCTTATATATGGGCCTCACTATTCCAGTCTTTAGTTCATCAGGATACCTATTAGTATATATACAAACGTTTACCAATTTTGCAATAACAGGGGAAATTTCTTCGCTTATATATTTTATATCTAACGCCCGAATCCTGTCAAGTCCAGGTGCCTTATTAATATTCATTGTATTTATAGTTTTAAGAATATCTTTTGGCATCACTTTTTGAAAATTCATAGTTACACACATAGGATATGTATATTCCGTTTTATCTAGAATGAGATTTCTACATCGGGGAATTACATTTTTAACACTACTCTGAAATGAATCAGCAAAGTTATTAGCGATAGTATATTTATTTTTATTTGTATCTCCAAACGCATCAAGCAAAACAGTATCTACCGCTTTACGTACCCTACCTGTTATTTTATTAAGAATAAACCAGAGTTGTTTCAAATTATTTTTATATTTGTTAATTAGATTATAAGTATATTTATTTTTCGATGATCTTATTAGCTTATTTGAATAATTACGTGCTTCTGTATATTTCTGCTTTAATATTAAATTACCAGTATCTCTTATCCATTGGTAAAAAAGCTTATCCCTATACTCGCATGCTTTAATAATGCCTAAATTAATCCATTTGTTTGAGGTTCGTTTGTTATTTTTATTTTTTATTTTTTCTGTAATTTCTGAGTCGTTGTAGCAATTGTTAATGTTTTTACTAATAAACTCTAGTATTGTGTTAGGACAGTCAACTCCGTCAATTTCCTTCCAGTTAATATTACTTAGACCGCGTCTCAATATATCGCCGTTAAATATTCTATTATAAGTAGGTTCCTCCTGTATATGAGCACGAGTTTGACCCACACAGGTAACTACGGTCGCTCGGTGATCCGCCAGTACCATACCGAGCGCCGCCGTGTAAACGTCTTGTGTACGCGATCTTATATAAATATGATCAATGCATGATTTAGTTATTCTGCCGTTAATTGTTTCAATTCTAGTGTACTCTGTTATTCCGCACGCAAGACCGTAATTATGGAGCATGCAGTTGTACTTATGTCTTATAGGGGAATAAGTTCTTAAATCTATGTTTATGTCCCCAACAATTAATAGTTCACATTCTGTATTTAGTGAATTGATTAGTATACGTAGTTCGTCAATAAATAGGTGTTTACTTGTTTCTGGAGGGCGATATATAACACAAATAGTTGCGGTATAGGATGAAGTAGTAGTTATATTAAATAATATACATTCGAAGTGCTTTGTTTTTATATTATTTACTATTGTGTATTTATTTTTCCTGTGTATATAAGCAATAATACCGCCACCTCTACGATATTTACGTAGTTCAGTGTGCATTTGATAGTCCTCCAGATAATACATATCGGCCAGAAATTCATATATATTAGCTTCCGTTACCAAGACGATATCTATACATGCATTAGAGGAACTTACACATTGTTCCAAGGCATCAAAATTTTTAATAAGTGATCTTATATTTAGGTGCATGCATAAAAGGTTAGTCTGATAGTTTTTAACAGGAATATGATTTAAATAATGATTTATATCAGAACATTTAGTTAATTCACAAATATCTTCTAACTGTATATCCATTAAGTTTGAGTAAAATGTGACGTATATGATTATAATACCTATAGAAACGTAAAAATAAAATTATTGTGGTGGTACATGGAGCTCCTTTTGTAGAAGTGTTTTAATGTCGTCTTCGGTCCTAATTATGATTGACTGGTCCTTTTCACTTTTTCTTGCTCTAATGACTCCTTTCTTGCACCACACGAATTTGTATAACCCGCTATTTTTAAGTTGACGTCTTGCGCTCCCCAGTAAATTTCTGTTATAAACTGTCAACGCCTCACTCACATATATATTTTCATCAGCAACCTGCTGTGATACATTGGACAAAATGTCATAAACCGTGATCTTCGTATTCTTTGCCTTATAAAGGCTCCTTATAAAGGCGTATACATACTACAGATATAATAAAATATATATTCATACTATATTAAATAAATAAATAAATAAAATAAAAATAGCCTTTATTCTCTGACTTTGTATATCAATTATAGTTACAATTTAGTTTTTTCCACCGACATCGGCATCTGTACCGCCAGGTTGTCCTTTGACAAAGGCCTCCTCCAGCTTAGCCCATTCTATCTCTGGCTGCTCTTCTCCATCCCTTCGGTAGGTCGTCTTCCCATCTCTTTATCTGCCTACCTCTTTTCCGTTGTCCGTCACGAGGGTACCATTCTGTGATATCTTTTGCCCATTTTGGTTTTGTTGATCTCATCATATGTCCTGTCCACTTCCATTTTAAGGTCTTCACCTTATGGATTACATCTACCACACCTGCCATAGCTTAGCACTGGAAGTATACAGGTATCAAAAACTTTTCTTTTTAGGGATACAGAAATTGAATTACATTTCATAATTCTTTTTAGGGACCAGTATCTTGACCATGTATTGCAAACTCTTCTCTGTATTTCCTTCTGCATTTGCAAGTTTGGTGTTATTACCTATATGTTATACCCAGGTAAATGTATTCCTCTACATATTCAACTTCTTGCATTCCCACCGTCAGCTTTATATTTGAGTTATTAGTCATTGCCTTAGTCTTGTTCAGGTTCATGGTCAATCCAGCTTTTGCACTTTCTATTTTCAGTTGTATCAACATACTTTGAAGGGCAGTCGGGTCTTCAGCAAAAAGGACAAGGTCGTCAGCAAACCGCAGATGGTGCAGTTTGCTACCGTTTATGTTTACTCCCATCTCATTCCAGTCTAGGTTTCTAAATATATCCTCTAGAACGGCAGAGAAGCGTTTCGGGGACAGAGGATCACCTTGTTTTACACCTTTTTGAACATTGAACTCCGGGCCAACCCTTTCTAGTTGCACTTTGGTTGTGCTTTGGTGGTATATCTGGAATATGATTCTTATATATTTATTATTAATACCCTGTTTACATAGTGTTTTATAGATAAAGCCATGTAGCAGGGAATCAAAGGCTTTGTTGTAGTCAACAAAAGCAATATAGTATGGTTTTCCGTATTCGTTATATTTCTCCATAAATTGTTTCACTACATGTATATGGTCGATGGTGGAGTAATCGCTACGAAAATCAGCTTGTTCTCTGGGTTGTTGTTCGTCTAGAACCTTTGATAATCTTCCAAGTAGTATCTTCGAAAAAACTTTATAAATGTTGGATATTAAACTTATAGGTCTATAATTATCTATGTTATCTTTATCCCCCTTTTTATGTATGAGAACGATTGTTGATTCGGTCCATTGTTTAGGTATTTCTTCATTGTGTAAAATTTCATTAAAAATCTCTGTTAATGTTTTCCCTATAATATCAAAAGTCTCCTTTAGAAGCTTATTTGTTATTTTATCGTCTCCTGGTGCTTTATTGTTTTTTTGTGACATGACAGCTTTTTTGAGTTCACTTAGGAGTATATCTGGGATGTCTTCATCGTCTTGTTGGTAGGCTTCTATTTCTTTATAATCTCCCAAGTCGGTGTCGTGATACAAATTCTTATAAAACTGTGTCGCTTGTGTTTATTTGTTGTCTCTTCGCATGTGTTGTTGTAGTTCCTTGAAGATTTTTAGTCTTTATATTTGGTATCCAGGTTTTATGGTCCTTCAATTGTTTCCAAGCCTTTTTTATACCTCCTGTTTTCTCTATCTCATCTGTGATGTTATTTATTATTCTTTCTTTGTTGTTTTTCCTGATTTGTATTATTTTTTTTTTTGCTGATTGATTCTATACTTTTGATGTTATTTCTCCTATCCTGCAATAGCTTCCCCCTTTCTTCTATAAGTTTTCTTGCTTCCTCTCCTATTCTGTCTTTCTTTGTGCTGTTGGTTACTTTTTTATATATGTTTAGTAAGTACTGTTCCGTTTTGGAGTACTTTTGCTGAGTTGTGCTTTTTAATTTCATATCTGGAAGTGTCTTTTTTAATTCCAATTTAACTTCCTTTGGTATACATGGTATCACATGGGGTGTTTTAATATTAAAGTTTCTTCTTGATTTTTTTGTGTTGCATGTTTTTATGGTTCTTATCATTCTGTGGTTAGTACTGAAGTTTAACTTGTTGATTACTTCAATGTTCAGGAACTGATAGGGTATATTTGTGATTATAAAGTCTATGACATTTCTATGTTTACCATCGGGTGATATCCATGTCCATTGTCTTATTATATTACATATTCATACTATATTACATACTATTCAAATAAATATAGCAAACAAGACTTTTGTCTGTCAAAGAAAATAATAATAATAATAAAATAAAATAAAGCAGATAATTTGCAGTAAATAACTAATGTTTTAGGTAAAATTCCCTTACGCCCATTTTAAAAGAGTTTTATCTATTAATAATTATAGTTGCAATGATGATTGTTTCTATCTATAGATAGCGGCGGCATCGTTGGTATTGAATCTGTCCGTGGCGTTAAGTCAACACATTGACGCGGCGCACCTGGCGGACGCGGCGCTGCATCTCGCCGCCACGCTCGCCGACCACGAGGCGTACTTCAGGTAATGTGTAGTGATGCGCCGGCTCCGGATATCCGTATCCGTGAAGGAATATCCGTAACCGTTAATAGGGATGACGACTGGGTAAAAAAAATATTTAATTGATTGCAGACCTCCCATAGTTCCGTTTCATATTAATATTGCTTTACATTTAAGCTGTAAATGTATATTTTCAGCTCAATTGAAAACAGAGGCTTTGCAAGATTTAACCCATGTTAACTAATACGGCAAGTTAAACAAAAACTTGTATAAATATTCTACAATTATGTCACCGATAAATTGGTATTTTCCATTAAGTTTATGTATTACCAATGGTATTACCAATATGAATACTATGAAGAGACTGCTGTTAAAATCGAATTATCCGTAGAATATATTTAATAAATGTCCAAGTCGGTTTCTTAGTCTTATCAGGCTTTTACTGACGTATATATTTTTATTTGAAAGTTATATAGTTCCAAAACTAGCAATTCATTCTATAGAATTATTACGTCCGAAGTACAATGAGGAAGTATTAAAAAAAATGAGTTCTCGAAATCAAACTAGATGTCGGTACTGTACGTTTTTGATTTCTCAATGACAACTCTCATATTTATAAGTAAATTAATTTTCAAAACTCAATAAACAACTCATATTCTATTTGTACTTTTTCGTATTTGTATTGATATCTAAGTTTCGAACTTTTCAAATATTCAGTTTTTTAATATGTTAGTTAAAAGGAACGGAAATGACTGTCTTTGGTCCATTCGTTTCCTGCAAAAATCAATTGCTAGAGTCGCCATCTAGTGGAGGTGCATTTTAGTGCTTTGATTTTTTTTTAATACTTCCTCATTTTGTGTAATTTAAACGTCAAATCCCCACTTTGAAAAGTACTTTGTTCAGAAATGTAACTTTATTCTTTGGATAAGTCGAAAACGATGCACAATGAGTTATGTCAACTTGTCATAACCCATCACAAGGGCCCAGTATGAATTGGTGCATGTTAACGACTAGTGATGCTTAATGTTCCCCGACGATTTTGAGATAGCTAATTGGTCACTAATCTTATTACCGGCCTGATAGCGGTGACACAGTTAACAGTGGTACGGGTATCGAACGTAAAGGGAATCGAAAGAATGTAATTTATGCGGGTGGGTGTTATATTGGCAGATATATCCATCTGTAATTTATGCGGGCGGGTACTAATAACACCCACCCGTATATATTTCGGTTACACTGCGATTAAGCGCTTGCAATATCGTGCAATGTATAATTTCTCCTGAACATGGTAGCAATCCCGTTTCTGATAATTAATCATTCTGATGTTAATGACCATGTAAGCTTAAAATGATATATTAAAATATTTTTTACAGGGCACTAGTAGCATTAGGCACGATACTCGCCGAATGTCCGAACAAACTTGTTATTCAAACCAAGGTAGTTTCCAATGCGCAAGTGCACAACAGATTGAAGAGAGACAGCGTAACTAATTCTACGGAAGCCAGCCTTAAGAAAATATCTATATGTTCTAAACAAATACTCGGACTTTTATGAACTGATCCAGACTGATAATTAAAAGTAACTCAATAAAATACAAGATATGTAATTTATATCTTTGAGCGACTGGAAAAAACAAACTAGAAATATGTTTGTAAATGCTGATTGATGCTTGATGCGTCCAGGAAATATCAAACATTTTTTGCTATTTTGTTTGTAATATAACGTGAATCAGTTATGTAAATGAAAGTCCTATTATTTCTTTTGTAATGGACGTAAAAATAAGGTTGTCTATGATTTTCTTGCGACTCGATGGTAATGAGAGTATAAAATAAAATTATTTTTAACAGAATATTTTGTTTCTTACTGCTTTTGTTATCTATTAAGGCATGCTTAAAAATCTATATAAAAGTTTTGATGCATCTCTCATTATAAAACCCAGTTCAAAAGCCACAGTCGATACATTTATAAAACATAATGGTGGACAATAAAATTAGACCATCTAATCTACTAAATTCGTTGCCGTGTTTTATAATATATAATCATTTTTTTTAAGTTTTTATTGTGTTTTAAATTTTTGTATTAAATATTACATTTTTAATGAATCAACTATTTGTTTAGCAATACACAAGAAAACATACAATGATAAATATTAGAACTGTAGGAAAATTCTGGTGATGTTAACGTAATAATTGAATCTCAATAGAATTTCAGCTACTCGCATTTTACTACTGTACTATCCACCTAAAGTCCAATATTATTACAGATATATAATAATATTGGGCTTCTGGTAGATAGTACAACGGCGGCAAAATTCAAGTTATTGAGATGCTCTTCTTACGTTAATATAACTAGAATTGCCCTTCCGGTCTAATTTCATCAGTAGTATAAGTAAGTATGATCTATAGTACTGTAATCTTGACTGAGGTGGCAACTATATACTGAATGTTAAAATGGGTACGGACTAACTTAAAATGTATACTTTCGAAAATTTCAATGATTTTTGTCGAACTGAATTTAAAGTTTAATATACTCAATCTTTTTCCCAGTCAAATTCGACTAAAGCTAAAAGAAACTCATGATTGTAATAAAAATAATAATTTATTATATTATGAACGTGTAATTTACACAACTGATAGCGAGTCGATAGCTTTATAATAAACAATGTTATAAGTGGTTTCTTTTTATATTATTTTAATACAAACTCTAATTACAATAATAAAGGATTGTAATAATTAATGTCTAACTTATTTATAACTTATATACAACCTACCACATTTCCAGTACACATCGATTGACTTAATAAACAGATTCATTATACAAAATTTATGATCTCATAAGGTAACATGAGTAGCAGATTTTTCTTATTACATTAGTACCTGAATAAAGCACATTAAACGCAATAAGGAAGTATTTAAAAAAAACGAAAGCACTAAAAAGCACCTCTACTTGATGGCGACTCTAGCAAAGTTGATTTTTTGCAGGAAACGAATGGACCAAAGACTTTTTGCAGGAAAAGAAAGGAACAAAGACAGTTATTTCCGTTCCTTTTAATTAACATATAATAAACTGGAATTTGGAAAGTTCGAAACTTTAAAAAACTGTTTATATAACTCGTACGAATTACCATGACACCTGATGGTCTATTCTAATAGCCGCCAATGAAAATTCGGAAAATTACGAATTGTTTTTATAATTTTCTAAAAATCACAACTGTGAATATTATCTGTGCATTAGAGGCAGCGTCAGGTCATATCTCCGTTGTATCATAAAGTATAGATAAATGGGTTCCTTCGGAGTCTTACTAGCATTTCGATTTCGTATAAATAGAATATGCCTGCAAATGGTTTAATTTAACCTCCGCAACAAAGATAAAAAAAAAAATGGAAAACTCTCTCTTTAGAGAGTGGCGCCACTATTATAGTAACAAAATTCAATTGTTTGAATCGACAATGTTATTTTAGTATTAGCAGAGTTGAGTATTCTTTTTTTTAATTCATGGCCTATTTGAGTATGACTCCACTCTGAGTGTGGAGTTATACAAAACATAAGCTTTATAAGATCGACATTTGTGACATCAGCGTTCTTTTAACTAGGTAGTTCATATACAATGTATTTAATATTGGGTAGCGTTACAATATAGAGTGAAGACAAATTCTAAAATGGTGTCATTACGTGAAGACATAAAATAACAATTATTAAATTCATGTTTCATTAATTAGCGCCATATCACAGTTATTTTTTCTTCTTCAACTCTTCGAATCTTCTATTGAGATCGTCGAAGTCGATCTCGTCCGATCCCCCAGGCGTGTTACCCGGGTTTGTATTGGATTCGTTGCTGTGAGGCACTGAAGGCAGTACGAGGTCTGAAGGTACTGACGGTAGTTCCGGCAGTTCCGGGAACAGATTCGACGGAGGCGGTCGCGTACGAGGCTGCGGCGTTGGAGTAGGCACATGAGCCGGCTGTCGAACAAAGAAAAAAATAAAAATATATTTCATTGACCGCATAGTTTTACTTGAAATGGGAACATAAAAATAAGCATATTATTCTATTCAGCTTGAAAATATTCTTGCCAGCTAGAAAAAGTACTTGTGTATTTTAGTATAAACAAGCTTTCCGCCAGCGGCTACGCCCGCGTGGTCTTGTATTATACATAAAAACCTTGCTTTAGAACCACGCTATCTATGAGAAAAAACCGCATCAAAATCCGTTGCGTAGTTTTAAAGATTTAAGCATACATAGGGATATAGATAAAGCGTCTTTGTTTTATACTATGTAGTGATAAGTCATTTTAAGTATAAATATGCCGTAAGAAATATATCGTTAAAATAAATATTTTTTCTTGCTTAAACGTTAATTAAAATTTTAACTCCGTATAACGCTATCCGCCATATTTATGACGTCATTTCGTTATGTAAACTAAACAGACGCATAGAGTATATCATTTAAAGATTAAAATATGGCATCAAATAAAAACAGATGTAAAATAAGTTTGTAAAGCAGATAAAAGAGGCAATCATTTACAACTTATTAGGCCCAATATGAGGCGAATTCACCATATAAAATTTAAAAAAAAAAAAATGAAAACAATATATATTTCAAATTTTTATGGTAACAATATACGTTTCTGACCGATTAATTACCCTTATGAAAGAACGAGTAGCTCGGTGGCGTAAGTAGCTCGGTGGCGTAGAGGATAAGCGCCGTAGCCCGCGATCGTTGTTGTTAAGCAACTTTCGCAAGGGGATGGGTGAAGAAAAAATTATTATCTCGAGCTACTTCGTGCTTCGGAAGGCACGTTAAGCCGTTGGTCCCGGCTACATTTGCAGTCGTTAATACCCTCCAATCCGCATTGGGCCAGCGTGGAGGGTCATGGCCCATCCTCCTTAACCATCCATAAGGAAGGCCTGAGCCCCTGTAGTTGGGACGTAAAAGGGCTGGTGATGATGAAAGAACATAAAGCTGCACGTTTACACGGTGAAATATACATAATTGTTTGTAAAGTTACCTTGTAATATAACAAAAACAATAAGATTCAGTTAGACTATATAATTACCTAATCTAAGTCTCTAACCTACTAAAAGGTTATTTATAAAATTTTAATTGTGAAATAGAAGTATTGACAACAAAGTATTTAAATTTCATAAACAGTTCATGTTGCATTTTATTATACATTTAAATAATTTAAAAAATAATTATGCACATGGAACTAAAAATACGCGTGCAAAGCTAAATAATGGAAATTAAATAAACTAAAAAAAACTAATTACCATATCGTGATGGATGCTGTCGTAAGCAGGTGGCAGATTATGCATTTCATCCTGTGGAAACGAAATAGCTAAATATAACGTACTCAATCTAAATAGTACATGCAATGTATATTCAAGCATTTAATGATTTACAATAATGCAACTTAAATACAAGTATTAAGCTACAAATTAGTCTACCAAATATTTGTATATAGTCTAGCCTCGTACCTGTCACTTGACATCAAATGGCATATTTATTAATTACGTTAACATTAGCGTAATTAAAATGTAATTAATCGCATTTCAATAGAATCTCAATTATTTGAATTTTGCCGCCATTGTACTATCTACCTGAAGTCCAATATTATTATAATATCAGTCACCATTAATGTGTGAAATAAAAAAAAAACAAACAAAATTCTTTAAACAGTCCAGACTGTTACAAGCACTTATAAAAGTTGAGAAAAATGAGAAAGACATAGTACAAATAATATTGGACTTCAGGTAGATAGTACTGTAACGTGCGTCGTGTCACATTTATTTCGTCCTAGGTTCCCGCATCCAAACTTTTTGTCTATGATCTCTAACACAATTTCTTTTTTACTATTCACTTTTCGTAATTTGAAATTTCGAATAACGCGATATGCTCTTTCTGAATGTCAGGTCCTGAAATTCATCCAGTGAAAACATGGCATCAATTTGTGATACAAAAAGAGTGTTATAATTTATCATAATACATTTATTATTGTGAGTTCTGTTATTTTTAATTAAATAAATCAGTAAAGAAAATTGTAAACATTACTAAAGTTACATTTGCTCTACAACAAATAGAACTTTCTATTTATTCTACAACAAATAGAACTTTGTAGGGGTATGTAACTGTTTTACCTAAGTACTTATTACAATTTTAGGAATCCATATGAACCGTTTTTTTATATTATTTTTGATTTTTTTACAATTTTTTATTTACACTATAAAATATATCAAGATTAATTAGGTTTTATTTAACAAAGCACCAAACCCGTCACAGTACCATGGCAAAATTCGAGCAGTCGGGATTCTATAGAGACGCGATTAATTACCTCGCTTTCATCGACCAGTGTATATGAGTAAAAATACACAATTAATTATGCGTGCAAATTAAGTTTACATGCTATTCGCATAAGGCAATACATTAAATACGCAAATACGATATCTTTCAAATCATTATAATTACCTGAAGAAAACTGTTTGTCAAAGATTTGGAATCCACCCCCGGGGGCAAGTTGTACCCGGCGGGTGGCTGGCTGGGACCGCTGTAGTTATTCGGAGCGGTTGCTATGAAACCGCCCGCTTTACCATGCGACGGTTGCTGTATTATAATAGTTCGTATTACAAATCAGTCATACCAATACTAATAATGTATGGGTGTAATCTTAAAAAAGACCAAAGTAAAAAAAAAATGATAAATACAAAATATGCATCCGATTTAAGACTAATTATTAATTAGATATTATTAAACTAGTTTTTAGACAAATATTACTAATATTTGATCAATTTAAATTTTTTTAACATGTTTTCAACAATTTAAATACAACTGACGCCATCAAAGTATATCAGCAGTAGAAACTAAGAAATTAATGGTTTATAATAAATTTTATATATCATTAAAAATAAATATCATGCCATTAAACATGATACAAAATGTAAACATACAGATAGTATTACTTAGGCAGTTATTAAATTACTTTAAATCAAATATGGCCGACCAATGGAATTTTGCACGCGACGCAGTATTTTGTGCACGCCACTGACCACAAAATTACTATTTATTATTATTTTCTCAAAAATCTAAGTCAAAATTATTTGATGGCACGTCTATGAACTCAATAAATATTTCTTAAGAGCAAAACTACACCTTGATATACAAAGGTTCACCAGCCCTGCTTTAGGTAATACAAAAACCCTTCTTTTATACTTATTAAGAGGTTTCATAAATAGACATTTTTATAGGGGTAGATAAACTCACTGAAGGGTAATTAAAAGGTGTCCCGCCAGATGGAGGCGGTGGTAAATTCGGCATATTGTGCATGGGCGACTGCGGCGGATACCCTATAAAACCTGGCGGCATCGGAGGGCCATTGATGTCTATCAAAAGTGCATCACGACCTAAAAATATCCATAAAAAACCACAATCAATAATGATAAAAATTTAACTTAGGGTGACCAGATACGTAAAATTGTATACATTTTTACGTATCTGCAGAACAGACTTCCTGGTAAGAAAGTAGTGCAAATATACTCCAACATTTATTATCTATAGATACTACAAGTAAAATTATACAGTGGTAAAGTTTATAACTATGTTTGCTCTTGAACAGCGATTAATCGACATCACGTTGCAAATATTGACTCAATATTGCATTGGTAATGAATTAACTAATTGACATTAGGTACCTATGTATTGAGACTATGTTAAAAGAGTACTAGCTAAAATTTGATGAAAATTTAGATCATAATTCAATAAGATTGAAATTGTTATTAAAGTTGCAATCAAGAGTAAGCTTCGTGATCATGAAAATTCTTTCATCTATAGAAAGCTAGATCATATGCAAGCGACGACGGCTATAATTTATGCAGGTAAAGTCATGGGAAAACAACTAGTAACAAAAAAAATATAATCACAATGTATATTTATTATGTCACTGTATTAGTACACAGAGGAGCTTGATAGCACACTTGGTCATAGAATGTGTGACCAAAAATTTAATATCTCAAGTTCCTCCATGCTTCGGAATGCATGTTAAACCGTTGGTCCTGGCTGAACCTGCAGTTGTTAATACCCACTAATCCACCCCACTATAGAGAATTGGGACTAGGGATTATAGGGACTAGGGACTATAGGGACTAGGCAGGCAAAGTGGGTGGCCCATTCTCCCTATTTGATTTCATCTAAAGGAAGGCCTGAGCTGATGATTAATTTATAATGAAAAAATATAACTGACCTTCTTCCTCTCTCATAACTTGTTCATCTGGAGTGTACTCAACATTATAGTTCTTTGCAATTTCAATTAAATATTTCTCAACAAGTATTTTTGGTGGACTCTGGACTGACATCTTGTGTTTGAGTTTTTCACTAATTGTACTGACATTTTCATTTCTGCATGCCTCTGCATACATTTTACCATATTTTGCTGTTAATAAATCAGATATTACTTTGAGTTCCTGGAATATTAAAATATATTTAAAAAATAAATTATTGATAGTCAAAATTAATAGATATTTGTTTTGGACAAAATATATTTCTGATGTCCTTAAAGCAAAATATAAGTTGATTTGGATACAGTCAAAGCTTTTATTTGATAATCTATAAATATGCTACATTTAGGGTTACCAACCATACTCTAAAATAGTCTGTCCATACTATATTATAATCAACAAATTTTAAAAATGATTTGAAACAGTTATGCCATTTTCAATACAGACAAAAATAATTTAAAAAACGAAAATAAATATCAATACCTAAGATGAATAAACTACAAAATTGTTCTTACTGTTATTTCTCACCTGGACATCTGTATGCATTCTAGGTGCAACCCAGATCAAACTAGATATAGCTTCAGCTAGACCTTCATCAAGCTCCTTCATCTGAGTAACCAGACCAAACCTGGCCAGCACCAGGTCACAGTACATCTCTACTATCTCCATAGCCTCCACCATATAATCCTCTCTATAAAATTGTCAATAAATTAAATAAGCTCATTTTAAACATGCAGAGCTTGCTATAAAATAGTTTTATTTGTTTAGTGTGCAGGAAAATATAAAAAAACAGTATATTGACAATAATCTGTTTCAAATACTTGTTAGAGAATTTGTGACATATGCTTTGTAAAAACCCTTATTACCAAGCAATGTGATACATTACTCTTTTACTTTAGCAAAATTTCTGCTTAAAATGGAAAATTGTCATAATAAAAAGAAATACCTATATATTTTTTTAAAGTGTGGTGTGAGTTTGAGTTATCAAATAGCAATTACAATTTAACTGCATGTAACAAACTAATGTTTCTGAATAAAAAACAAAAATCTAGTTAATTTAACTGAAGCATTAATAATACCGAAAAATTCAATACAACCTGATGTCATTTCTCAAACTTCATAATAAAAGTAATCAACTCTATTAGAAACATGATTCATAACATAATCTAGGACGCAAATGTTGATTTTATAATACCAAAAGTTATTATAAAAGTATATTTACCTTATTATATGTTCAACTCGTATTTTAGCACGTTCACTTTTACCAGCAGCAATGTATTCAGCTATTTCTTTTCTTGCTTTTTGAGCAAGTTCCGTTTTCTTTTTCTCCAATAATTTAAGGCGATTTATAGACAATCTCAAATGAGTTTTGAGTTTAGTATAATTAGGATTTGTCGAAAACATCTTGCAACTTTTCTTGATAAATTTTTATGATTTAGAAATACCTTTTATTGTGAGCAATCTCGGTTTTCATTCGTATGTTTGAACAATGTTTAATTTATGTTATAAAATGAATCATCAATAGAAAAACAAACCACTGGAAAACTGCTGTCATTGTCGTTGTTGACACATTGCTTTCTTTTCAAGAAAGGCAAAGGAATCTACATCATGTCATATATTTTAATTTTATTTTAATATTTAAAATTTATATGTATGAGGCAGGACCACGCAGGCGAAACCGCTGACGGAAAGCTAGGTGAAAGTGTAATTATAAACGATATTTACTATCACTCTTCTCTACTAAAGTTTTCTCTTTAGATATATCTATTGAATTCCTCGACAATATTCAAATCAAAATTGTTTATTCAGTTTAGGCTTTTACACTTGTGAAAGTCGCAAAACTACGGCGGAAGACCTTGTACTGAGAAGAACGGGCAAGAAACTCAGCAAGGGCTGTTTTTTTTCTCCCTGTTTTATTTCACACAGAGAAGTCTTATTGAAAAGTGACTTCATTAGAATATGAAGTCACTTTCCATAACAATTTTAGAAAGTAAATACAATAAAGTTAAAATATCTAACACCATGCCTTTTTGCCATTTAGATATTCCTTAACGGTATAATATCCTTAATTTGTAGACAATTTTTAATATGACTTTTAACATTATTTATTGGCAAATCTAATACATCACTGGGGATCTTGTTAAAGTACTGTATACAATGACCCATAATAATAATAATAATAAAAATAATCTTTATTCAAACCAAAACATAACATTTTCTTATATATATAAATTAATAATGTTGCATTTTTGGTTACAAATTAGCACCTAAATTATTGTGAGCCCCTGACCCCCAAACTAGAATTAAATCTGTTTTTTGGAAGTCAGTGATTCCTCTTATCTCAATGAATCTCCATGAAAAAACCTAATACCTTCTGTAACCTGTAAGAAGGCATTACTAGTTTGTTTTTATTTCTAGTGTTAAGTTTGTGTACATCACTATGTTTGGTGTACACATTAATATTGTTCCGGACAAAAAGTATACAACTATATATAAATTGAGACGCAACCGTCAATATTCCAATTTCATTAAATTTCTCTCTAAGAGATATTCGCGAGCCCAACTCTATTGCCCTTTTTTGTAAAACAAATATAGACTGAATATCGGCTGCCGTTCCCCACAATATAATACCATAGGACAAGATACTGTGAAAATAACTAAAGTACACTGTCCGAGCAGTTTCTATATCGGTAATTTGTCTTATTTCTCGTATGGCATATGTAGCCGAGCTGAGTTTACCAGCTAATATAGAAATATGCGGGTTCCATTGCAGTTTTGAATCTAGTGTTATGCCCAAAAATTTTGTTTCACTTACAAACTCTAAATGTTCGTTGTTGGGTTTAATTTCAGGTGGTTCTACTTTTACATTAGGTTAAGTGAATTTTATACATTTGTTTTTTTTAGCATTCAATTGAAGATTATTAATTGTGAACCAAGATAACACTCGTGAGAGAGCATTGTTTACATCGTCAAAATTATATTTGTTTCTGTAAATGTTAAATATCAATGAAGTGTCATCTGCAAACAACACGATCTCACATAGGTTTTTAACAAAAAATGGTAAATCATTTATATATATTAAAAATAGAAAATAGGCCTAAGATAGAACCTTGAGGAACGCCTATTTTTACATGAGACCCCGACGACTTCGCAACGTTTATATCTACTGTTTGTGTTCTGGAACTAATGGCTTTGGATCGCAAAAAACACCAAGAGCGTTTTGCGATCCCTCCCATGCTTTAGTAGCGCTACACCCGCATCTGTTGTCGAACGTTAGAATTAAAGTAGGATATTAGTTGTTCCAGAATAAGTTTTTCAAAAATCTTGCTTAGTGTCGGTAGAATTGAAATGGGTCTATAATTACTAGGATCCTGTTTACTACCAGCTTTAAAAAGAAGATTCACTATACTAAATTTCATGAGATCGGGGAAAATATCCTCATCAATACAGTGGTTGAAAATATCAGCGAGATAGGAAGCAATTATATTAATTATACTCTTAATTATATTTACTGTTATACCGCATAAGTCACGAGTGTTTTTTATTGATCTGAAGTCTTTAATAACATCTAATGAATCAATATATTTTAACTTAAATAAGGTATTGCACCTACTCCCCTTTATCATTATTATTTATCTATGTTTTCTGTATCACCATTAGTTGCCTGGAAGAGATTGGTGCATAGCAATAAAGCAGCCTTTTAGTATACGGTCTGATATCTTTTCCTTTCTTTGTAATGTGTCCTATATTTGTACAATAAAGAGTATTATTATTACTTTCTGATTGAAGCATATGTGTAATTCGATTTCCAGCTACGACTACAAAAAATGCGGAATGATTCTATAAATAATCTATGACGACAAAAAAGGCTACGCTTATATCCAAAATAAGTACTAACTTTAAGGCGGCCCCTAGACGATCAATTATATTGCGCAATATATCAATTGTGCAATATTATTGACCATTTAAATTTTTATTGCGCAATATTTTCCATTGCTTTGTGTAGGGTCAATATTGCGCAATATTTTTTAGTCTGTGTTTCGTCTTGACGAGGAGTACACGTGCACGTGCAAAATTGGCGGAAAAAGATATTATTAAGGAAAGACTTTGGGGAAATAGCACTATGAAATTTTAAATCTTCCAATGTATTTCCAGTCGCTAGATACCGTAATGTTATTGAAAATCGTTGATAAGGTGGTATTGCCTCCCTCATGATTGCATTTTTTTTTCTCAATCAATGGCGTGACCAATTTAGTACCTCTTGAAACCGTTCTAAGTTCAGTCGTTCAAAATTCTTGAATTGTGCTTCCTCAGTTAACATCAAGTATTTTAAAAGATTTTCGTGAGTGTATTTCTGCGTTTTCTTGCACCAAACTTTTGACCACCGATGTGTTCTTTTACGTTTACGTTTAGGCACAAGCAACAAAACTACAGCAGCAGCTAACTCTTGTTCGGACATATTGCTCAAGCACGGTGCACACGGGATCAACACTATTCTACGACTGAACACGAAAAGATTGCGCAGTTCGTTTATTGTGCAATATAATTGATCGTTTGTATTCTAAGCGCCTTTCAATCTTATTGTACAACTAGTGGCCGCCAGCGACTTCGTCCGCGTTTTCCATTATTTCTTCGCTCCTAATAGTTGCAGCGTGATTTTATATAGCCTAAAGCCTTCCTCGACAAATGGTCTATTCAACACAAAAAGAATTTTTCATATTGTACAATAAAATATATTGTACAATGTTATTGTGGCGTCTAGGGGCCGCCTAATAGATCACCTTTATGGCTAGATGAAGTTTAATAAGAAGTATTGCAAATTTATAGGAGTATCAATTAAAATTATTTGTTGCACCAGGTTGCACGCAATAAAAACTACAGATATTATCTAGGCCGGAAAGTTGAAACGAGGGACTGCCCTGTGATTCTGTAAAAACCCAAACCCGAATTCGAATTCACTCAGGCGTCCGTAGTAGATATGAGCGCCGATGGCTAATTCCACGGCGGCGGCGTGGTGTAAAATATTCTACGGCGGCGGCGGCGCGCCGGCGTGGTTTACATTTTTTTAAGAATAAATAAAACCATATTATTAATACTTAAGAAAATATATATTTAAAACAGTTTAATCATTTTTGACAGAACTAATACAAATAACATTTCCAAAAAATAAAGTAGCATCAGTAATTTTAATGAAATAGACCGACCGTGCTTCGGAAGGCACGTTAAGCCATTGGTGCCGGCTGCATTTGCAGTCGTTAATACCCTCCAATCCGCATTGGGCCAGCGTGGAGGATCGTGGCCCATCCTCCTTAACCATCCATAAGGAAGGCCTGAGCCCTTGCAGTGGGGACGTAAAAGGCTGATGAAAAAAATGAAGACCGATGTGAAATTGCACGTTCCTGAATTGTAACTATTTTTAAGAGAAATAAAATAAAACTGTTTCTAAAGATATAAACTCGCAACAATAATTTCAATGAGATCGATATAAACTATCAACTAATCAAAATTGCTTTTCTGAAGCTGCATATTTTTTTTTAATAAAAAAAAATCCTTCTACAACTACCTATATGGCTCCATCCACGTATCAGCGGTTAATGCACCAAAACGAGGACTTTGATTTATATATTTTTTTCATGCCAGCATCATTTTCCACAGTGTCAAATGGAATCAAAGATCTAGCAAACCAAAGAGCCAAATCTCAAGAAATACACCACTTATTGCTCTTCTTAAAACTGCTACTGGTTTTTGGAGTCCTTGGTCGAAAAAAAACTGTGATATGCTCGAAGGCTGCTACTTTTGTGCATCTTCTACGCCATGTGCTTCTTTCAAATGTCTAAGAAGATAACTTGTGGCTATACCTTTAGAGTAAGCTTTCACCATTAATATTTACCATTATTACTCATGAGTCGGGGCTGTTTTACTGCTAGTTTTGCTAACATTGTTCAGAGTTCGGTACAACAGACATCTGCCACTATTGCTGGACCAGATCGGAGAAAACTATAGTAAACAACACCATGCTGAGACCACCAAACAGTTTACCATTACCTTTTTATTGGTAAGTTTTGTTAGAACACTATTGTCGCGTTTCACCTGTGGTCAGCTATTTTTCTTTTACGGTTATCATAAAGAATCCACTATTATTAGAATCTACTAGGTTATCATAAACATCCAATATTCCTTAATTTTTTTACCGATTCAACAAGGCAAAACAAATTTCAACACTCGATTCTTTCTGCAGATCAGTCAAATCATGAGGCACCCATTTTTTTTTATTGATTTGTAAGATAACGTTAAACAATTTTTGTTTGACTAGGATCGGCTTCCACCATCTCTTTTAATTCATCGTTATTCACTTGTGTGGGCGATCTTCTTCGTGGCTTGTTCTTTATCAAGTCGAAGTTTCC